GGAGAATTTGGAGCGATAGCTTTTGATTTGACTCCGCAAGCACGCTTGACGAGCTGTTCCTTAAAGAATCCGGATGATAAGAGCAAAGATCCGACGATTAAATGTTGTTTTTCGTTCAATGTTAGGAGGGATGAACACAAAATGTGAGTAGAGTTCTTTTTGTCTCCCAAGGAAGGTTTCGATGGAGATGTGAGGAGATTGGGAAGAGGATTGATGAGGGGACGAGAAGCGCAAATAATCTGAAGAGCGAGCAGTCTTAAGACCAACAACTAACGATGATTCCCAAACAGCCCTTCTCTGATCGTTGGAAACTTTTTACCTCAAGACCCTATTAGGCGATAATACTTTACAATATGGTATGGAATGCAAGAATGAAAGACGGAGAGGCAAGAAAGCCCGATATTTTCTAGTATTTAATAGATGAGTACGTACATACATATATAACATGTGATTGGAATTTGCTATCTGGAAAATGGAATTGAATTTTCTCTCCTTCTTCTTCTTCCTTTAGGAAAGGTAAAGGAAATGGAAATGGAAATGGAAATGGAAACGGAAACGGAAATGGAAATGGAATGGAAATGGAATGGAAAGGGGAAATAGGAGAGAAGGAGAAATTTCACGAATGGATGGGTCAACGGGGGGCCGGGGAGTTTTGGGGGAGGGGTTTGGATGGGAGTGTTGGCTTGGGTTCATGGTAAAATTAGGCTTCTTTAGGTTAAATTTGCAAATTCCTCCGAAGCATCAAAAGCTTCCTTGACATTTCACCTTTCACCTTTCATATTTCATATTTCATATTTCATATTTCACATCCCAACCATCTTTCATAATTCATAATTCATGAGTAGTCTGAGGAAGCGAATAATACAATGCTGCATAGTAGCAGTTGATTTGAAAACTTCATTCTTTAATACTTGAGGGTGGAGATGAATACTTACTTATCTTTATGTACGTCCAAACAAATGAGCTGGTGAGTTGTGTTACCAACATTTCTTGAATGGGCAGACAAATAAACATCATACGAGAAAGGGTGAGGGGAAAGCAGCCTGCGACTTTTCATCTGACATTTGAGACATCTCGGGACGCAGAGACGAATAGAACAGAACAGAAGAGCAGAGAAGACGAAAACAAAATTGTGTGGAGGGTGTACGAAGCCGCATGATGCCGGAATCTAATGCTTTGAAGACTGCTGCTGGTGTTGCACGGCAGGGATATGGCGAGAACGGTATGGTGAGGGTTGAGGGTTTGGGTGTGGTGGTGGGTGAGAGGGTGGATGGGATGGGGGATAAGAAGGGGAGGGATGGTAGAGATGGAATGGGGAGTGGAAGTGGGAAGGTCATGGGGGATAAGGATGGTTATGGAAATGTGAAGGATAAGAGGTTGAGAGCTTTATTTGGTGAGTCTTTTGTGTTCTTGCCTTTCTTTGCTTTTGGTTTGGTGGTTGGAGGTTTGGAGACTTTGAGGGTTGGCTACAGGATTGGGGGCTTGATGGGTGTGTGTAGGTGAAGCGGCGGAAAGGATAGACAGGTAAGGAAAGGTGGAGGATAGTTTTTATATCAATTCTTTGTTGTGCTTAATATCTCATCACGACAAGGTTTTACAAAAAGCTTTCGAGCGCAGCGAGCGATGGAGGCTTGGGGGCTTGCCCTCATCAAAAGAATCACTCTATACTTTGAGATAATTAGGAAGACAATTCTTTTGTTTCTCTCTTATTTCTGTTCTAACATACTTCCCTCCGACTCGCAGTGTTCGCGCATAAACTCGAAAATGATCTCGATTTCTTAGATGCAAGTCTCAGTCGAGATGTATTCAACTTTACATTTACAACGGTTGAAGGAAATGGGACCTTTAGAGAATTGGAGAACAGTATAGCGACTTTTCCGACCAAGTTAAGTTCGAGTGCTAGGGACAAAGCTCAGGAATTGGATGAGAAGGCGACGCATATTTGGAATGTTGCGACGAGGTTGAGAAGGAGTCTTCCTGGCGAGAATGATATGGAAGTTGATGATGATGGCTCAAAGACTTGGGATAAGAAAAATGAACTTAAGGGCTTATTGATCATGGTTAGGATGTTTGCCTTTCTCGTGCTAGATTGTGCGAATGAATGTGGAAACTCTGCCGCTTATTTGCGCGAAGCCACCAGCGAGAATAAAGACAAAGAGAAAGTGGAGAAATCGAAGGGAAATTTGTTGAGGCTGATGAAAGTGGGGATCAAGACGGGAAGAGACTGTTTGAGTATGTATACGTTTCTGTTTAGGGAGAGAGCTAGAATCTAGGAGTTTTTGCTAATGATATGCGGATCAGATGGACAGAAAATCGATTATGCAGTCAAAGCCTTAGAAAAGCTTGCAGGATATGCAGGATATAGTGAAGAACTTTTACGTACATACGCATCACCCGATAAATCAGAAGAAAGGGCAACTTGTGCGAGATTCACGGCTGAGTATTTCGTTCTTAGGACTTTATTGGTAAGATCATGATACCTTTTGCTTAATATCTGCTAACAAAGTCTATAGGCATGGCGACAAGATGATATGCAACTCGCTGAACATATGTTCAATAAATCCATGTCCTTCAAAGAACTCTTCGACCATTCTACTACCGAAAGTCTCTCGGATACTTTATATGAAATGGGAAAGGCATTACGTGAGAAGAAACAGTATGCACTCTCAGTAAAATGGCTGGAGCGTGCCTATAATGTTTTAAGTGGCGATGATTTGGACAAACTGAGTGCTGATGCTACAGAATTACGAATATCTATCATTCAAACGCTTATCAAGGCACTCTTGGAGACTAACACATCAGATTCTATACAACGGGCACGGGATTTGGTCGATCTTCTTCAGAGTGAACTCGGAGATAAGTTAGTGGTTCTACTTTTGAAACTAGAACTTCTGATGGAAATCCCAAATGAAACTTTTGATGGCTTGGCATATACTGCTATTCTGAACAAAATGACTCGAATTGTGGTCTTTAATTCGACTAATCTGCGATTGCTCATTTTCCATGTTAGGAAGTTGCATGAAAAAGCACCCAGCTTGGCATGCGGAGCGTTGGATGAGATGATCAGACTACGAGTCAAGGAGTTAGCAACTATGACAGAATGGTTAGAAAAGGTGCTTCACACGAGGATCTGGATGGCTGTCGGTGGGAGGGAGACTGAAGATTTATTTGTCGGCATTGAAGGATTTCTTACAATGATTGTGGAGAATGTTGAGAAACCTGTTGGTGTGGAGGCTACTATGATGGCTCATTCGGTTTGTGACGTCTTGAACATTGATCGACAGAAAACTAATGGGACATAGTTAATTTGGAAGAAGATAGAGGCAAACTACAGCATATCGGAGTATGAATTAACGGGGAAATGGTGTCGCGTTGCTATGCATAAACTGTTTGAGAAATCTGGAGAGGCTAATATGGCTAAGATATCACGGTTTGTTCTTCTTCTTACTGATGGTTTTTAAATCTAATATGTTATAGAAAGCTTCTTCTATGTGCCCTCAGTCGAGGAGATATTAACTCTGCCCGTAATATCTTTGGCTCTATGTCAGATTCAGCAAAAGAAGAGCCACTAACACGATTTCTCATGTACAAGGTAGCAATCAGAAGTAGTGAGGTTGAATTAGCAGCAGAATGTCTCGAAAGGGTCGCCTCATGCTCTGAAGATACAAATCTACTTTTCGCTTGTGTCCTTGATGCTCAAAAGGTTGGCAATAAAACACATGTTTTAAATGCTCTCTGGTTGGTACTAGAGAGATGTGGATATGGTTTACAGCAGAATGTGCATCTTCCGTCGATCATTCGAATGATTATTGTTCTGCTTGTTGGTGTTATTGCTACCGAGGAAGCATCAGCTAATGACACACGAGAGAACATTGAGAAGCTGTGTGTGCTATTCGAAAAAGGTAAGCTATTTGAAAGGCCACAGAAGAACTAAATACTAATTATCACAGCACTGCACGTCATCCAAAAATCCTTCAATCGAGAAATCTGGACACTCGTCGAACTCGAATGGTTTTCAAGAAACTCTTACAATCTATCCCTCAAATATCTCTCTACATGGGATCCAACCCATTCGCTCCGAATGTTAGCCTGCTGCATCGGATTCACTGATCGCTATCCGCAAGACATTGGCGAAGATGCATATGAAGATGTTACACTCCGAAAAATGTTCTGCAACTTCTGTGCTGCTACAACTTTCGTTTCGATTGCAAGAGCAGAACAAAATCTCGAAAAGCAACTACAATTCTATCTCGATTTACGAAAACATGTAACAAGCTTTGACCGTTTGTTACAGGAGAAAATAGAAAAGCTAGAAGTGGAAATTACTGAGGATTTATTGCAGAAATTGTCTGTTCTGCTGGCTTTTGATTTTGAGGCTGCATGTAAATTGAAGGATTGGGATGGTTTGGGAGAGATTATAATTAAGGCGGGAGTCTGCAAGAGTATGAGGGTTTATGAATTGATGGCGGATTGTATTTTGAGTTGTGAGGCTCCTACTCAAGGTTTGTGCTTCATTTCTTTTTCTATATCACCATTTCCCTTTTTCTTCTTTTCTTCCCCTATCATACCTCTGAAAGACTGATATGCTGACATGCCTAACTAATATCATAGTTCTAATCATAACACTCAAAAAAATCACAAACAAAACTTGGGAAATTGAGGAATTTGATACGGTAAAACTGTCAAAATACATGCGATGTTTGTTTCAGGCAGCTATGGGAAATGATGATAAGATTGCGGGGGAACTACTTGATCAAGTTTGTATGCTTGCTGCTGATGCTGCTGAGGTATGTTTATTAATACCTTATCCTATTCCTCTCTTCTCTTTTCAGTCTCCATCTCGATCCCTCAGATGACAACCGATTCATTTCTCGCTTTTTCCACTTTTATAACCAGAGCTAATGATAAACTGTAAACAAAAAGACCGAAATTCCCTACCCAACTCAAGAACTCGATTGGTTAGCAACTAAATCCTTTAATCATGCTATAGATCTCTATAGTGCAGACCAAGATGAGGCGTGTAAGAGATGGGCTGGGAAATCTATTGCTGTAGCGGGATACTGTGGAGATGGGGGGAGTTTGAAGAAGCTATTGGTGGGGAGATTCGGGGGGTTGAAGTTTGATGTTTGATGTTTGATTGCTAGGTTGAAGCGGGTATAGAGGGGAAGAAGATTATTGAGACTTGCGGGTGATAAGAAATGAGGGGGTGGGAGCATTATTATTCAATTGCTGGAGATTTGCTGGGGTTTATATACGGGATTATGATATTATGATTATGGGGATGGATGGAATTGCTATATATAAATATCCATGCATGACATAGAAGCATTAATATTAGCTAGATATCTTTGCTAAGATTACATATTTACATAATCCACATTACAATCTAGCTCCTTACCTCATCTTGTTCCGACAACTAACTTTTCCCCTAGATGGATGATATGGTTTGGTATGAGATAGGTTTAATTGAATGCAATAGTACGGCAAGTATGTTCTGTGATGGATAGACCATAATAAGTTAAGATATTTAAAATTTGATTTACTAACTTAGTAGAATACTAATAAAAGATCTATATGATTAAACCATTGACTAGGTATTCCAGTAGTCAATCCGAGTTCAAATCCAAAGTAGGTTGGAAAGGCCAACCTTGATAAAAGAAGCCAAGTCATCACCTCAAGTTTCAGTGACAACGTAAACATCTAGCAGATCACTCAAAATGCACAACATGACTCTCAGCACCATAAGAAAGCTCAGTCGTACTCTCCTTCGCTATTCCACTCGTCTCCAAACTATTCTATACCAGAGCCGTAACAAAAGCTTTTTCCTTTCCATCAACATTTACATCATCATCATCATCAAGAGAAAAGCCAGAAGCAACACTAGTGAAACCTTCGAATTCCTTGAATCTGGTGATTTGCGCTCTGAGATCATCTTCGGATAATGTAAGATTTATTTTTTTTGTATGATGATCATTTGGATGAAAGGGGCATCTACTATTTCTACCGGAGCGTAGGGTTTATATTCAATGATGAGGATGTTTGGACTCTGGAGGAGCGGCGAGAATTAGTGTTATATGAGATGGCATTTTTGGAAAGCGAGAGAGGCTGCGGTGAAGGGTCAGTTGTGTGTTTTCAGTCTCGTAAAGGGTTTGAATTTATATTGAAAGTTTTTGGGAGCTACTATGGTTGCCCTAATTCAATAAGAAGTTTAATCTTTTGTTGTCTTTGGTGTGGAATCTGTGTCTGATATTTTGGTTAGAGATATATCATAGAGGAATCATGACAGAGGAGCATACCAAGTTCGAAGATGGCCATCTTGAATGCTTATTATTTGAATCATGGATTTAAGGGTATCCTTCCATTCATCAACACTACCGTTAACTGACAAAACTCGTTCGGTGATAGCCATATTGATATGTGTTGCTGTCTTTGGGGGGTGGTTGTGAGAATGAGGAAGCTTTTTCAAAACGACAAGTCTTTGAAATCGTGCCGAACACCCTCCCGAGGAGTGACGAAACTGGATGTGACGATGTAGAGATTTAAATCGGCGGGTTATTGTTCATACTTATACACGCCGTTCACAATAAACGTACACTGCTATTCATATTCGAAAAGCATAAAGCTCCAGAAGCCTTAGCAGCATTGTCCAATTCAAGGTAGGGTCAGCAATGTATGTTCATTAGTAAGAAATCAAAGCAGTTAAAACATGAGTGCGTAAGCCATACTTCGAAAGCTGCTTAGACATATCCGACACAAGTTATTACCTACACATTTGCTCATAAAGTCTCCCGTTGGTCAATTCATATCAAACGGCTTTCGGTAAGTTTTGTGGCAGCTCTTGATCTGTTATTGCAGAGCTTTCGAATATCAAGTGCCTGTTTCATGAAACACACTTCCAGAGCTCGATACCATCGCTACACAAACAAATCCATGTGCAATGATCGCCACGCGGGCACCGCAATGTGATGTGACATATGGCGAAAGTCAAATCTTCTCAAGAGGTACTCCAGATGACCTTGTGACATTGACTTAACATGTCTGAAAGCTGGCGGAGGTGTTTGCAAACTGATCTTGTAACAAGATTTGAATGTATGAGTACATGATTTGGCTCATGTTCTGCGATTATGCATTGAAAGTAGCTAGCTTTAAGTTCGAAAGCTGAATGGCTGGACATTTGGAAAATAGACTGGACAATCAAAATGATACCAGACATTGACGCATCCCATATTCAAACTTCTGGATCAATCGAAGAATAATGCCTCAACCATGCACCATCGATAAGTCGATAAGATGGCTTGAGAGCTCAAGCATGTCTATCAAAAGACAATCAACTGGCCAAGAGGCAGCAATCATGCGAGAAAGCGAATATAATTGTGGTAGTTCGCAAACTAACGAGGATGGAAATACCGTTCAAGTCATATAATGGAGGATTCAAACCAAACCCACGTATTCTTTCAAGTATACACTTAATCACATGCACTAAAGGACTACCCAGTATTGCGATGAGGAGAATCGAAGTGCCAAAGTCAAAAAACATTTGAGATATTTGAAGAGATTCACTCAGTGCAACGAGACTGGTAATATGATCGGATAGCTGCTATTTGTTGAATGAATGTGGTGATATCTAGAGGAAAACTTTCTCTAGCCAGCGGGAATCGAATGAGGTATTATGAATGCCAACTTCATATTTGGAACATCACATGATCTTGTTGTTCTCGTTGTCGCAAAATCACTTACATAATGACTTATGTAGTCGGGTCGTGACTAATCACACAAGCACAGGCGATTTCCGATGTTGACGTTTGGCTAAGCTTCTAGCTCCGAGCAATCAACCCCACTATCCACTAAAAGCAACGGAAGCATCCTCGCAGATCATGTTTGAGTTACTCAACGAATGAAGGTAATGAGATGGTAAGCAGTCTTTTGGAATGATCAGTTGGTTACCTTCCGATATTTGAGGGTAAAGGTTCAAATCCTGACATCTCAATGAAGTGATACGGTCAATATACCTGTACTCGAGATTTGCCACTTCACAATCACATCAACCCCGCATCACTGAGTTCCTGGATCTCCCAAAAGGTTGGCCCAGGGGATTTGCTGCGAGGGCTATCGGAGACCTCCATCGGCTTAAGCTTTTAGATAAGCAACAGGCCCAATATAGTATCTTCGCCTTCTTGAAGAAAGATACACTCTCTTTTTAAAATAATCTTCTTCTTTCCCTTTTGTTTTCTCATTTTAAAACTTCAACTATATTAAAAATAACTAACATTCGAGCGGCACTAAGTACTTTTGTGGCAGGAAATACATCTTCAACGAGGAACGTTGGTGGTTTGAATTCCTCAATAAACAACAACTCTATCAGAAATATCCATCTCCCAACTCAATATGGCACCCATTGCTGTTTCTCCAGAACATTCACCGGACCCTGCAGTTTCCCTTGATTCCGGAAACTCTCTCTCCTCCGTGACGACCACCTACGATGATACCCTTCGTTTTTATTTGAATGGCACGCGAGTTGTCCTCGATGACATGGATCCTGAGGTTACTCTACTTGAATACCTTCGCGGCATAGGTCTTACAGGAACAAAGCTAGGGTGTGCAGAGGGAGGATGTGGAGCTTGCACAGTGGTTGTTTCTCAATACAATCCAACCACCAAGAAAATATATCATGCAAGCGTGAACGCATGCTTAGCTCCACTGGTCAGTGTCGACGGGAAGCACGTTATAACAATTGAAGGAATTGGGAACACAAAGAGGCCGCATCCTACGCAAGAGAGAATCGCGAAAGGGAATGGTAGTCAATGTGGGTTCTGTACGCCAGGCATAGTCATGAGTCTGTATGCTCTTTTACGGAATGATTCGAATCCCTCGGAGCATGAAGTAGAAGAAGCATTCGATGGAAACCTTTGCAGGTGTACAGGGTATCGCCCAATCCTAGATGCAGCGCAGACTTTTAGTTCTGGGGCTGCATGTGGCAAATCTAAAAGAAATGGTGGAGGTGGATGTTGTATGGAAAATGGTGGAGAAAGTGGTGGAGAAAGTGGTGGATGCTGTAAGAACGAATTAAAGGATGATCAACCTATAAAACGGTTTACACCTCCAGGATTCATCGAGTATAATCCGGATACTGAACTCATATTTCCACCGCCACTTATGAGACATGAGTTCAAACCCTTGGCTTTTGGAAATAAAAGAAAGAAGTGGTATCGTCCAGTGACCATGGAGCAGCTCTTAGAGATTAAGAGCGTATATCCGTCGGCCAAAATCATTGGTGGAAGTACGGAAACGCAAATCGAGATTAAGTTCAAGGCTATGCAATACACAGCTTCGGTGTTTGTTGGGGATATCCCCGAATTAAGGCAATACTCATTCAAGGATGACCATCTAGAGATTGGCGGTAATGTGATATTGACGGATTTAGAGTCTATTGTTCAAGAAGCAGAGAAGCATTATGGGCCTGAAAAGGGTCAAGTATTCAAGTCAGTAGATCTATTTGTCTCAAACTTCTCCTTGCTATTTTGCCATTGATACTTTCATACGTACTAATGAAAATCTATCATCGTCTCCTCTCTGGTAGAGTAACAACAAATGGACCCCATAGATAACAAATCATGTTACTATATTGTACTTACTCTATACTAACGACTTCTATAGAGCCATTCATAAGCAATTGAAATATTTTGCTGGTCGACAAATCAGAAATGTCGGCACGCCCGCAGGAAATTTGGCCACTGCTTCTCCTATTTCTGATCTCAATCCTGTATTCGTTGCATCAAATGCTATCCTAGTCGCAAAGTCTTTAGACAAGGAGACGGAAATTCCCATGTCTGAATTCTTCAAAGGTTACAGATTAACTGCACTCGCTCCAGATGCAATCATTGCTAGCATTCGTATACCCGTGACACAAAAGGGAGAATATTTAAGAGCGTACAAGCAATCGAAACGAAAGGATGATGATATCGCCATTGTCAACGCGGCTCTTAGAATTGCCATTGATAATACTCAGGTTGTAACTAGCGCAAGTCTGGTATACGGAGGAATGGCTCCAACCACGATTGCGGCTAAAAAGGCCGGTGCTTATTTACTGGGCAAGAAATTTACGGATCCTGCAACGTTAGAGGGAACTATGAATGCTCTAGAAGAGGACTTTAACCTTAGCTTTAGCGTTCCTGGAGGAATGGCGACTTACCGGAAATCTCTTGCGTTCGGCTTTTTCTATCGATTCTACCACGAAATTTTATCCAGTTTCGAGATGAAAAATTTGGAAGTAGATACACAAGTCGTACCGGAGATTGAACGCATGATATCTTTTGGCAAAGAAGATAGAGAAGCCACTTTTGCCTACCAACAGAATGTTCTCGGAAAGGCAAGTCCACACGTAGCTGCATTAAAGCAAACCTGTGGTGAAGCACAATATACGGATGACATACCAGTCCAGAAGAACGAGCTATACGGATGCTTAGTTTTATCGACAAAGGCTCATGCGAAAATCGCGAGTGTTAATTATGCTCCTGCAATGGATTTGCCAGGTGTGGTTCAATATGTTGATCATACAGACATGCCAAGTCCTGAGGCCAATTATTGGGGAGCACCTGTCTGTGACGAAACATTCTTTGCTGTTGATGAAGTATTTACAACAGGCCAACCCATTGGTATAGTTCTTGCTGATAGTGCAGCACATGCAAGTGCAGGAGCACGAGCTGTCAAAGTAGAGTACGGTGAAAGGCCGGCCATATTCACAATGGAGGAGGCTATTGACCTAGAAAGTTTCTTCGATCATTACCGGTACATAAAGAAAGGAGAATCAGAAAAGGCATTCGAAGAAGCAGATTATGTCTTTAGTGGTGTTTCTAGAATTGGTGGGCAAGAGCACTTCTATTTAGAAACTCAGGCTTGTGTAGCGATACCTAAAATCGAAGATGGAGAAATGGAAATTTGGTCTGGGACACAAAATCCAACAGAAACGTAAGTACAATCAGATACCTTCATATTCTTAAGCTAACAATCTTTCAGCCAAACTTATGTTGCGCAAGTCTGTGGCGTTGCTGCAAACAAGGTTGTGAGTAAAGTCAAGAGACTTGGAGGTGGGTTTGGTGGAAAAGAGACTCGTTCCATCCAACTATGTGGCATTGTCTCGCTTGCCGCCAAAAAGACTGGTAGGCCAGTTCGTTGCATGCTCAATCGTGATGAAGATATGATTACCTCTGGGCAAAGGCATCCTTTCTTGTCCCGATGGAAAGTCGCCGTTAATAAGGATGGTAAGATTCAAGCACTTGATTTAGATATGTTCTGCAATGGAGGGTGGACTCAAGATCTTTCTGGTGCTGTACTGGATCGATCATTATCACATTCTGATAATTGTTATATGATTCCTAATATTCACGTCCGAGGTCGTGTTTGCAAGACGAATACGATGTCAAATACCGCATTCCGAGGATTTGGTGGACCACAAGGTTTATTCATGGCAGAATCATACATCGAGGAAGTTGCGGACCGTCTCGGTATGCCAGCAGAGAAACTCAGAGAAATAAACTTGTACAAGGCGAACGAGAAAACACATTTCAACCAAGCCTTAAAAGACTGGCATGTACCACTAATGTATAAGCAAGTTCAGGAAGAGTCGAATTATGCCGCAAGGCGTGAGGCTATCACAAAATTTAACGCAGAACATAAGTGGAAAAAGAGAGGGACTTTCAATTATACCTACAAAGTTCGGTATTTCCTTTACAGCACTTTTTCTCAACCAAGCTGGAGCATTAGTTCATATCTACCACGATGGATCCGTTCTTGTAGCTCACGGTGGTACTGAAATGGGACAGGGTTTGCATACAAAAGTGATGATGGTAGCAGCTGAGGCACTTGGAGTTCCATTGTCTAGTGTATTCATCTCGGAAACGG